TTAGGAGAAAGGCAGTGTAGAAATAAAATAAAGTAAAAATCCTTTCTTTGTATCCTCAGTTTTTACCCTCTGGCGAGTTGTCTATTCTACAGCCAGCCATAAAACTGGTTGTACAATCAGAGGGTGGAAACTGCTTTGTTATTGCTGAACATATGGTTCCACTCCCCCAAGCATGCTTCTAGCCTTTCTGAATAAGAAAAAAGGAAGTTTTCTGAAGTGCTTTCAATATATGATCCTGGATTATGTGAATTAGAAACAATTGGCCATGTCTCAGCTATGACTGATTCCCTGGTTTCATGCAGTTAAATTTCTGTAGCAACACCAGATTGGTTTGCTTGTCCAAGTTCTGGTTCTGGATAGGAGCCAAATTCTTCTTTATGTGCATGGTATTTATAAGCAGCAGCTCTGGGTCCCATGTGAAGGAAGCACAATGGTATTTATACTATTTAACTGTATTTAGCCCTGTGTCCTTTGTCATGTGAAATAAAAAATGTATTACTGGGGAAAAAATAATAATTTGTATATAAATAGGTATTATTTGGCTGAAATCCTGTTGTTTATTGTAGAATGTCACAACTAAAATAGGCACATTGAATCAATGTAACTTTTGGAGGTATTGACTCACCAAATTCCCCATTGATTCAAATTGGCAGAGTGTAATTCTAGTAGTATACTGAGCAACAGGATTTTTGCCTCTGCTTCTCAGTACATTTTTCAGATTTTGCTGTCATCTGAGGTCTCAGAGTTTAAAAGCGTTATCTTTAGCCCAAATCCCCCCCAAAAAATCCAGTCCCTTTGCCAGTTTATTCTGCCAGTGAGATCAGACCCTTAAAGTTATTTCCATTTTCATTGTCTGTGAAGGCATGATTTACTTCCATGAATATGAATATTTATTTATTTAAAATATTTTTATCCTGCCTTTCTCCTTGAAAAGGACCTAATGTGGCTTACAAAACTGAAATACTATATTTAAAGTTGAAAGCAATGAGTATACAACATGTAATTTTATTTGCAATGTAACATAAACATTTTGTTTATGTTTTTTCTTCCCAGACATCAAAGTATTTTTTTAGACTGTATTGGTTTCATTGTGAAATTGTAGCCTATTTTCCATCCAGTTCGTTTCAACCCACAGAACTTTCATATGCAATGATTATATTAAATCCCTTTATACAATAGGACAGCTGCTGTCCATGTTTGTTTTAGGCATAAATGGTTCAGCTGCTTGTGTTGTGGAAGCCAAACAAGATTGTGAAATCTCCTATAAGACAACATGGTTATAATTTTGTTTACATTAACAGAATGGGCACAGGAACTGTATAGTTCTTTAGTACCAAAAATAGGTAAGAGACTGTCATGGATCTATTACCAACCCTTTGATTACATTATTTATAGCAACCAGTTTGATGGGGTGATTTTATAGTTTGACATGTATGGTAACACTTTAAATGTATGTATTCCTTTCATAGAGAATTTGTGGATCCAACTTTATAAGCTCCAATTCTGTAAATAAAATTTACTTTCAAGATTGCCTTGTGTAAATCACCATTAGTACAATTTTATATGTACTAATGGTGATCCAATAGGGTAAGTATGTGGAGGACTACAGCCTTCTTGATTAATAGTTGTTATATTTCAGTCCAGAACTTGAAAGTAACTAACTACTTATAATTAGCTCCTTTCCCCAATCACAAAGCCAACTGCATAACATAAGTGCTATAACTTAGTGAAAGGTGACATCACTCTTTGGCAATGTAACTGTATCTTTTAAATGTACCGTATTTTTGTAACTGATAGGACAGTGTCCTCACTAAGTGGTGGATGATGAGCATCACATAGTTCAAGTGCTGGCTCATGGTGTGTCATGTGCTCTGCATCCTGCTCTGTTGCAGGTGTTGAGATGTCAGCAAGATGAAAAAGGGGGCACATTTTTACCAGGGACCAGTGGTTTGTATCCATGGCTTCTTTGGTGAGGCTTTTTTGGAGTTTGTGCAAGGAGCTACCCAGTTCCTCCTCATGCTAGTGTAAACCTAGTTCTGAATCACCTCTGTTTTGTGTGGCCAGTAGGACGGCACAAGGGAAATAATTAAGCAAGTCTGGAAATTGAAGTCGTGACAGCACTGTGAGCAAAAGGAGATAGAAGGTGAAGCCAGCATACCTTTCTGAAATCAGTGGTGCTGCTTGTCAGCAAGAAGACATGCCAACCTCCTCTCCTCTCCATCTTTCTCCTCACCTCTGTTGTCATTTAATCCCACTTCCAGGATCGCTTGCTTTCCCACCAGCTGCACAAAGCACTGGGTCAGCAGGCACAAACAAGCCAGAGCTTATGGGTTCTGTTGTCATTTAATTCCAGTTCCAGGATTACTGTACTTGCTTTCCCACCAGCTGCGCAAAGCATTGGGTAAGCAGGCACAAACAAGCCAGAGCTTATGGGAGCAAAGCCTTATGTTGTGTCCCCAGTAAACAGAACACTGATCCTAAAAAGTAACTAACTATAGGTTTCCTTTTGAAAAAGGGGAGCATCAATATTACATTTAAACTTACAGCAGGGAGTGAGTTGGTGGGGCTTGAGTCTATAACTGTAACCAATTATTTTTAGTAGACTTTCTAAATTCTGCTTGTATGGTGTGTTTCCTTCAGAAAGAGGGGGTTAAAAGGGGGGGGGGTTAGTGGTTGCTGTACACTGGTAAGGTCTGCACTCGGGTTTGCTTAAGTTATGCCATCTCATTGGCTTCTCCTAGGCCATTTTTCCCTATTGTACCTTATCAAAATTATAATACAAAGCTCGCTGAAGAATTCTGAAGTGCAAATGGTTAAAGGCTATGTCTTGCAATGGGACACAGAGGTAATCAGGACGGGGGGTATATCCTACTAACTTCATCAACAGATTGTGATGTGCCAAAGTAACAAATATAGTGATACTACAAGAGATTTGTAGGTGGATACAACTGTCGAGTGTTTCATTCTGAGATGATAGTGGTGCAGCTGAGAGTTAGAAGGTTCATTTTTGTGAACTCCTGCTTAGCTGTTCCATTTCCAATGGAACTTACTAACATAATTACGTAATTCTTCTATCATAGGCCCAGAATGTATCTTAGTGCTTATAAATCTGATTGGAGAAAGAGTAGAGGAAAAAAGTACAGTGGTGCCCCGCATAGCGACGTTAATCCATTCCAGGATTAACGTTGCTATACGGAAATATCGTTAAAAGGAACTAAAAAGCCCATAGAAACGCATTAAAACACGATTAATGCGTTCCTATGGGCTTAAAACTCACCGTTGAGTGAAGATCCTCCATAGGGGCAGCCATTTTCGGTGCCTCTTAAGCGAGGAATCCGTCCAGAAAACAGCGACGGCCATTTTGAAACCGCCGATCAGCTGGCTTCCCCCTACCCAGTTCCCACCCACCCCACTCGCCGATGCTGGGAGGCGTGCACAGCCGGGGCTTGCTCTCCCTCCCGGCTTCCTCCCACCTCAGTCCCCGATCCCGGGAAGGGACAGCAGCCGGGGCTTGCTCTCCCTCCCTCCTTCCCCCCACCTCAGTCCCCGATGCCCAGAAAGGAAAAGCAGCCGGGGCTTGCTCTCCCTCCCTCCTTCCCCCCACCTCAGTCCCCGATGCCCAGAAAGGAAAAGCAGCCGGGGCTTGCTCTCCCTCCCTCCTTCCCCCCACCTCAGTCCCCGATGCCCAGAAAGGAAAAGCAGCCGGGGCTTGCTCTCCCTCCCTCCTTCCCCCCACCTCAGTCCCCGATGCCCAGAAAGGAAAAGCAGCCGGGGCTTGCTCTCCCTCCCTCCTTCCCCCCACCTCAGTCCCCGATGCCCAGAAAGGAAAAGCAGCCGGGGCTTGCTCTCCCTCCCTCCTTCCCCCTACCCCAGATCCCGATGCCCAGAGGAGAGCGCGGCCGGGGCTTGCTCTCCCTCCCTTCTTCCCCTCCACCTCAGTCCCCGACCCCGGGAAGGGAGCTCAGCTGGGGCTTGCTCTCCCTCCCAGCTTCCCCCCACCCCAGTCGCCACCGCCGGTAAGCTGGGGGAAGGTATGGGGAAAAATCGCAAAGCGATTTTTCCCCATAGAGAACATCGCAATACGGTCACAAAAGCGATCGTAAAAACTTCTTCGGTATGCGGTTTCGTCGTTAAACGAGGCGCCCGTTAAGCGAGGCACCACTGTACCTGAATGTATTATTTGTAGCTGTAAAATACAGAGCCAATAATCCAGTCTCAGAACAGAAACTATAGAAGCAAGCAATTGTCCTGTTTTAGACTTCACCTATGATTTCTTACTATATAGCTTCCTTCTCTTAGATCCTTCTCTAACACGTAAAAGTTAGTTACATACAGTATATTAATCAAATGCATTAAATGGTAAAAAGATTACTTGTGCTAAGGTCAAGAATAACACATGAGTGTCTCCATATTGCAAATGTACCAGACTGTCCCAGTTTCTTATAAATGAATCTGGCAACTTCAGGTTAGTAAGACTGCCTTTTAAAGATCCCAGGGTACCACAGAGGGAAGCAATTGCTGTTAAAGGAGTTTGAATCTAGTACAGTGGTTCCCAACCTTTTTTGAATCTCAACCCCCTTTTATAATAGCCGTAACATTTAACATTCCCTGCCATATTTGCATAAAAAAGGCATTTTAATAGATTAAATCATCCCTTCACAGAAAGCAGAGGCTTCTTTCTCCCCAAAGGGTCTATTTCTCATACATACACACTAACTTTAATATCCCACTCCGAAATGTCAAGGAAGAAATTAGTTAGCAAGAGCTACAATACATATAAGTCAGCTTGTGAAAAAAGAAAGAACAAAACCCCCAGAAAACACTTCACAGCCCCCTTTCCCAGGTTGGGAAACACTAATCTAGTGAGACTTGTTTTTAGGAATTCTACCTTCTCTCCCCAATATGAATGTTAATAATAGAGAGTATTTGAGGATATCTGACCTGAACATGAAGCTTGAATTTTATCCAACCCGTACAAGCTGACATTTATGCATGCTTACCTTTTGGTATAATTATCACGATGATGTGGGTTTCAGCCTGGTTTTCTGTCATGTTATTGTAAGCGCTGCAGGTGTATTCTTCCGTTTTCTGTGTCACTTTCTCAGATGCAACTTCCAGAGATCTCCCATACTTGATGGGGTGTGTAGAATTATTTGCCTTGCGGATCCAGGAGTAAATATTTGGTGGATTGGAATCTGCTGAACAGTAAAGCCGGACTGCTTCACCTTTATCAAGTGTAAATACTCTCCCTACCTTCTGGCCTTTGTCAGTGTTTATAGTAAGCCCGTAGGGTCCATCTTCATGAATAGAATGACAATGGAGAGAGAAGAAAAGAATATGGCAAATGATTGCTATTATGTCAAATATTTTCCTTCTTTACACAGTATTAATTGTTGAGTCATATCCTAAAAAGACATAAAGCTAAGGCTTTGTTGCATTTTCAGGTTTTGGAATTGCAAGGTATGGTTTATATGCAACACTGAACTATGTATGTGTTTAATGTTTTAAGGATAAACCAGGGGGAAGCCTTTGGGTCGTGCACACACTCTTTCTCCTAGCATGGCTGTGAGGTGACAAGGTTCTGATTCTGTTTTAGATCAACCATAATTTAATATTTTATCTAAACTCCCAATTGTTGGTTCTTAACTGTGTGTATGTGATCTGAACTGGCCTGAGACATTTTGCTGCCTGAAGGAATGGAGAGTACTGTATTTCCTCCTACACTAGTTCTACAAATGAAAGTCAATCACAGTAGCAATCGAATCTTACATCAATACTGGTGACAGAACAATGTTCTCTGGTAATTTTAGGGCAGGAACCTAGCTTTGGGAGTGCAGAGCAGGCCATGTGACCCACACAGCTCTGTCTGCTCCTTATCCCTCAGCTTCCTCTGCTTCAGGCAGTGACCTCACCCTGCCTGTTCAAAACGTCAGCTCTGGATTGCTCAGTGAATTCATGTTTAGATTTGTGTGCTGCCTAGCCCCACATATGAAGATTAAGGCATGATGCTCTTGTGTGTTCCCACTTTGGTGAGGACCATGGCAGGAGAGAACATCATGTCGTTGTTTCAGCCTATATACTGCCCCATGCTTAAAGCACTCTCTGGGAGGTTTACAACATAATAATGCAAACAAGACTTTGCACTCCTTCCCCCAGCAAGCTGGGTACTCATTTTAATGGGGCCCTGATGAGAATACTTCCCTGAAATTATAAACTGTTAAGGACACAGATATAACTCCCGCTACAAGTTCAAGTGATGTGCTTAGTTCTGGTCTCAGCAGCATTACCCACCCTCAAGATTGTAGCATGACTGTAGTTCTATAAGGCTACTGCTTGCTAGTCAGATGCAAAAAGTTACAACTATTTTACTTGGCAGCTTCAAAAGGAAAATGTATTTCTTTTAATTCTCCTTGTCACTCTGATTTTATCCCATTCTATACTAATAGAGTGTGGCCTGCATTTAAAGTTCTAGGAATATCATCTGACCAGCCATGTCCATTAAATAAACATCTTTACTGATCATGCCATAGTGAAACAGAGAAAAATGACTATTTCCTCATTTTGTATAGTAGAAGAGCATAGCTATAACGCTACAAAAATATATACAAATCTTGACATCATACAGAAGGGTGAAATTCTTCTGTTTGCATAGCAAGGCAAATTGCATAAGATGTCTATTTACAGAAAAGAAAGACCAGTAAATTAGTTCAGGAATAGCTCTAGGTAAATAGAGATTATAATACTTACAGGAGCATCTGGTTTCTTATTTACTAGATAATCACTCAGGAGACTGGCACCTCAGAGATACACACTAGTCATCCAAATATTTTTAATTCAGAGCTACCTCATATGACTGATGGTCAAAGGGTATGTTACAAAATAGCACATCATTAGAAGCTGAAGTCACAGTTTCTGAATTTAAAAATGTGATTCCAGCATACATTTGTGTCTGCAAATGAATCCTGTATTCAACTTCCTGATGACCAATCACAAACCAAAGCATGCAATTTGCAAATTACAGGAGGTGTGAAAAGTTATCGTTTCTTATGGTTCTCACGGAATTCTCTTGTCCTTCCCTGGCCAATAGATCATTTTCTTCTGCTTGATATTTTTCAGCCTTCAGCTCTACTAATTGCATCAAATGTTGATACAGCAGGCAACAACTAATTTAACTACTGGATCCAATCCCTGAAAATCAGAATGGTAAGAGCGAACTTCCTCCTTTGGAAAGCTATCACATGCACACTTCTTATTTTAATAAAATCAGAAAGCTAGTGTTTATTAGAAAATTCATTGACATAGGAAAGATAATAGGAATCCTAGTTCTGGCTAACTAAGATGGGGATGCATGGAGCTGTTGTTGACCCCTCACGTCTTGAGAACAACAATGTCTCCGCTGTCCTGGAGAAAGATCAGAATGTGTGAAGGGACATCAACAAATGGAAGAATATTAGTCCAGGTAAAAGGAGGACCAGCATAGGTCACAGCAGATAAGACAGTCTAAGGAGCTTCAGGGAGTCTTTTTGTATCTACCTCACCCCATGTAAAAACATTAATTTTATTCTATGTAAGCTGAGTTGCATCAATACTGGCGTTATTACTCCATTCTATGTAAAATATTTTGTGCATCTACTACTGACCCTCTTTCAGCATTTATATTATTTTGTCTGTTGTTCACTGCCCATCCCTAACATCTGCCATGTCAGATGGAGATATATTTCCCCAGAGCAGGAACTCCTCACATTTCTAGTCTTCATAGTTTTTTTTTTTTTTTTAATAAGGAGCATATTCTAGAAGAGGAATGAACAACTTCTGGAGTTGGAGCCCATGCTGAATCCATTCTCACTGGAGGCCCCTGATTACTAACAATTTGGCAGTGGCTGCTGATATTTTCAGTGTCACTGAAAGACAGCAGCAACTCCATGGCTTTCTGTGGAAAAACCAAAGGTCATATAACACTTCAAAGACTATCTGGTTTATATTTTTATAAGCTTTCATGTGTCCAAGCGCACTTCTTCAGATGAATCGAAGTGGCAGTATTTCTGGAGGGAGTAAAAACATCTATCTCCAGCTACAGGCAGCCAGGCTAATGTCCTCTTTGATTTCCAACAATGCTTTTAGTGCAATACTGGTTCAGGGGCATTGTGGGAAATTTAAGAGGCTGTTATATACAGCAGAAGAAAGTCAAAGGGATCTAGAGCAGGCATTAGCAGTAAGTCCTCCACATTTGTTGGTTGTCAGGTGCTGGTCTGAAGACAACTATGAAACTACAGCAAATATCTTTTCTGTGTAAAGTCTTTATAAGAAGGAAATGTGCCTCCATCCCTCCCTCCTCCTTTCAGGTTGTTGCTTCTAGTTGTGCATAACAGAGTTCAACTTCATCTATCTTGAGATCAATTAACTGGAGGGGCAATTCCAGAATGCCAAGAAAGAAAAGCCCAGATTAGCTGCTCAACTAAAACCGCTTATTTGAAATGTCAGCTTTGCCTGTTCGGTCTTGCTAGCAGGTGAATTCTTTTTTATAGTACATATTAGATAACATGCATTTAGATTTTAAGAGTAGGTCTGAATAATTCTCTCTTGACAGCCCGGCCTCTTTTCCAATACTGTTCCCAGCAGAAGGGACCTTTTTATTTGGTGAAACCTATTTACTAAATGACGTGTAAAATAATAAATCATCACTTCTTAGCAACAATTTACTTCTCAGTGGGAACATGACCAATTGCTCCTGTCACCATGAAACTATTATCCATCTTGTTTCTGAACAGATGGCAAGTATTTACCATGAATGACCTTTATTATTACAGCAACTCGCCTGGCAGCAATGGCATATGGTATATGTAGACCCTGCAGCCTGTACTGTGTTCTTATTGAGAGAGTGGGTAGGTGGCAAATAGGTTTTTTTTGTGTACTGCTGATAAAGTTTAGATTGAATTATGTGATCGGAAAGTAAAATTGGGCAAATGAGATGACTGCAGTTCATATGGCTTCTTTTGCGCTATTTTTTTGTGCTAGGAAGATTTTGTTCCTTACCAGCCATCAGCTCTGAGTTTATAAAGAACCTTTTTGGAAAAAAGAACACCCACACCTTGGAATTGTCTGGGTTAAATTGGATCATAGGGTGCTCAGTCATTGATTAATATCAGCTCTCAGCCTTTTAGCAAAATACTTAATATGGAAACTTACAAATCGGCACCAATGTCTGTAGTAATAATGTCACATTGTCACTGCATCACAGGTTTATCCAGGCCCTCCAGGATTTCAGATGAGGCTGGGCCATTTCATATAGCAAGCCTCCCCACCTCATTGTTTGGGGAAACATATATAAATGTAAAGAATGGCAAGTAAAATAACATTATTTAAATTCGTAGAATGCATGACAATCATGCCACTTTGGCTACTGTGAGCTCCCCCTAAGAGGTGAGGCCTGGCCCAAATGAACCTGCTGTCACTCCCCCCCCCCCGCCATAGGGCCTGGGTTTATATATGGTATCAGTTGGTAGGCATGAAAGAAGCATTAAGGGAACACAAAGCAACAATTTACAAAAACATATATGGGGTAAACAGATGTATATATGTATGTCAGGATTGGGGAATGATGGCCTAGAAGATTATTTTGCCTTCAAATCCCATCAGCTCCAGCCAGAATGGCCCAAGGACAGGAATTGTAGGAGTTGTAATTCAACAACATATCTAGGCTTCAAATACTACAAATCTCTAGTTGTAGCTCAGCAAAATCTGATATATTTTAATCCCTAATGGATGTGATTGATGCCTTTGATGGGTGCACAGCCATGGCAGGGAAAATGTACTATGGACAATATCAAAAGGGAGCTAGCTTGTACCGTTGGAAAGCGCTAAACAATAATGTCCTGCTTAGGGTAAGTGAGGAGAATCTTTCAGGATACATTATAAAGAGGTGTTCCATAATCATATGTTACTTTTATTTATAACCTCCCTTTCTTCCAATATAGCAACCCAAGACAGCTTTCAAAAAGATAAAAAAGATAGTTAAACACCACAATAGGTTGTAGTATTAAGACTGAAATATATTCATATATTTTAGAAAATTACAATATACTGAGATCCTGCTCCATAACATCTGAAGCTGGGTTTCAGATGTACAATACATTAAACATTTTCTAAAGAGTTGGGTTCAGAAGCATTTTATCCAAATTAATGTACACCTGTTTTTTTTTTTTAAAGGCTCCTTACAAGTTGTGCATAGTGTTTGGAAGGCCTGTTTCCTTGATGTGAAAGTTCATTCAACTGATTTCCAGTTTCTGCCTAGTGTCATTTCCTACAATGGCCTATGACAGGTTGTCCTGTCTACCCAAATAGCTCTTCCTGTCCCTTATGATTAAATATGATAGCCAAAAACATTTTATTAAAAATATTTTAGGCACATGTGGTATTTTTACATGTGATATTGTTCTTTCTCCCTCCACCTCATCTTGGTAAAGGTAATGGTTGGCATAAGCAAGCCAACCCATAACTGCTGCTAATTTCTCAGCACTCTAAAACAGATTGATCTATAGATTTGTTGCATTTTTGTGCAAGCTTTTCTCCGTGGAATTTAGAGCAGCATGTTAAATGCTCAACTTTCTTTGAAGACAGGTAAGCTTCAATGGCTCACCCAGGAGATTCAGAGCTCAGCTAGGATTTTAATTTCCTGCAGTGCCTCTCGTGTAGCAATCACCCCAAGGGCCTTGTAACAAATTCAAGTGGCAATTCTTAGCCATGCAGTGCTGTTGTTACTTCCATCCTCAACCTCGGTCAGATAAGCCTGCCCCAAGGCTCACAAACAGAGAAGGGGGCTCGCCAGAGTGTTCTCTCCCCCCATGACTCCCTTCAAATCTGAAGTCAGTATGCTGATATAATAAATTGGTTGCTAAGTAGGCTGTGCTTATTGACCAGTGTGACAAACCCAGACCTACTGGGATCTATCACACAGTTACTAAGCTGCCACCAACCATTCCCTATAATAAGTCACACAGACCAGGGATGGATTTTTAAACAACAAAAGAATAAGGTTTATTTTAAATACAAACAGGGTAAATAAAACAATCAGGTGAATAAAATAAAGTAACGTGGCTTATTCTCACACACACAAGCATACAGTTTGGTTCACCTAGAACCTTTAACTTAAAGCACAGACCCTGAACCCATCAGTTCTGGCTAACCCACAGACACCTGAACTTATCAGGTTGGTACTCTGACACACAGTAGTACCCTGTCAGACACCCAGACTCCCACAACAGCTTCTTCTTCCCCAGCTGCTGCTTCGTCCCAACCCAGTGTCTCACAGTCTGTCTCAGCATCTCCCCACACGCTTCACATATTTATACAGTACAGCCCCTCCTCCTGATGTCCCGCCTTCCACTCCCCATAGGATGGAACTTTCCCTCCAAACCCATGACAGACAGGTAACATCAGTGCTGTTATGTAACAACCAGTACTGACTAAACATTGAGGATTGATTACAGTATCCCTGGAACAATTGTTGCTGACATGAAGTGATGATAACTAGAAATGACCAAAGAGTCTTGTGACATCTTGAAGACTGAGCAGTTTTATTTGGTAGGAGTTTGCACGGCCTCTGATCCCTTCAGAGGCATGGAGGACAATATTCAAGCCACATGGCTATACACACATTGGTTAAGGTTATGAGGGTGGGAAAGACTTAAACAGGATTCTGAAAATGATAACTTTTTAACACTTATGATAACCTTTCAAAGAGCTGGGCAGGATAAACAGCCAATGTGCACTGCATAATAAATATATTTCCAGGAGGGTTCTGTTAACCAGTTCCTTGGAAGCTTATAGCCAGTAGTAACTACCGTGTTTCCCTGAAAATAAGTTGGTCTTATATTAATTTTTGCTCCAAAAACGCATTAGGGCTTATTTTCAGGGGATTTTTCCCCCTTGTATAACAATCTACATTTATTCAAATACAGTCATGTTATCTTCTTCTGGTTGATGCATAATGGTGGAGGGCGGGGTTTCACTTAACTGGGGCTTATTTTTGGGGTAGGGTTTATGTTACGAGCATCCTGAAAAATCATACTAGGGCTTATTTTCAGGTTAGGTCTTATTTTCAGGGAAACAGGGTAATATGATACCATTTTCATATTTTACTTTATTGCACCATTGTGCTGAATAAAAGACATGCCAAATAAAATGTATTGTCGTAAAGGCATTTTATGACTTTGCTGTTTTAGCTGGGGAAAAAAAAGACTAAGAACTAGAAAGGTATAATTAGAAATACAAAGTAAGGAGGGAAAGAGGCTGGACAGGAAGGTCATTAACCCAGAGTTGCATGTAACCCAGGGGCAGCTGGTAGCTAGCAATAGTTCAGTCCTTTCCTGTATAGCATAATTGGGAGCAAAAGGAGCCAAATGTCCAAATGCAAGGAGCTCATGGAAAATCATGTGACTGGTCCCATCATGTTACATGAATGGAAGCACCACTGCTATTGATTTAATTTATATATCTGCAAATGGGATTGTCTGAATTTTGGCTCATGACACAATCTTTCTACCATATAGCTTAAGGCTTTTTCATTTTGTTTTCTTTCGTTATTTTAAGTCCATATTTGCTTAACTTCACTAGTCTTTTGTTCTGCTCTTTTGGCGTTTGTTTCCAACACCTTCAGAGTCAACACAGTGCTTTCAGGCGTAGATCAAGTAAACCAGTTTGCTTCCAGCTTGGTTAAACAAAGTTTTGTTTCATCACCCTTTATCCTGTCAGTCAAATCTTTCCAGTGTTCAAACTACTGGATGTAATTAATGTATATCACCCAAGTAGCATGATTACGCATGCTGGGATCGGATTAAAGTGGAGTGCACTGTCTGGACCAAAAAAGTAGAAGCTCAAAAAGGTGCATCCTAGTGATTGGTCTGCTCTAGTGATTATGTCATGTGGTCACCAGAAAAAAAGAGTGAATAAATCCATGCCCACAATGCACCAGATTGCGGGACAAATGGCCATCTGAACAAGGCCTTTGGAATCAGATTCAGTGAGCAATGGCCGCTGACCTCCAGCTCCTCCTTCTGAGCCCCCTCCACCTATTTTCTCTGAGCTAGTCTGCCACCCTCAGGCAACGTTAAGGATGCAGTTTCATTAACTGATGAAGTGAGCTTGCCTTGCCATTCAGTTTGACGTCTCAATATGGGCCAGGTATTATCTTCCTCAGGCAGCAAAATGTTACGGGCCAGCTCTGCTGTTATTGAAATTCCCCTTAGTTACAAAAGTGGCTTGCCATTTTTATTGTGGATAGGGCCTGCAAGTTGACAAATTGTAGCCTACATCTATTTTTCTGATTTTAAAAAAATATTATTTATGTACGTTTTATCCTGTCATGATAAAACGCCATGAGAGAAGGCAGGGAAATAAATTCAGTAAATGAAAGTTACTAAGAAGGTACCATTTGCTCACCACAACTTGAACTTTTTTTTACATTTTCTCTCTCATTCCCTGAAATCAGCAAATATCTGCCACATTTTTTAATCGTATGCCGTCTACTCACAGTATATGGTTGGCATGATGGTATCACTCTCCATGGCACTGACAGGATTTGCTGCTAAGCAGCTGTAATTCCCAATGGCTTCCTTAACAACAGGGGCAATTGAAAGGGTGTCTTTGTTTACAGAAAAGGAGTAGTTAGCGCTGGCTTCAATAGGATTTCCATTTTTCATCCACTGGTAAACAATCCTGGTGCCTTTTTCCACAGCACATTTTAAAGTGATATTCCCCCTTTTCTCCACAACTCCAAAAGGGGGTTCAGTGTATATGAGTGGCTTTGTGACAGGCACTGTAATAAAGAAAGATAAAAGAATTATAACCAAGGTATTTCCATCTTTTAAATAGAATAGGCCATTTGCAGTATAGTGGACTGAGCATGTGCAGGGGCTGGTAGATACTGCATGCATGTACCTGTCAGCCTGCAGTTGGCCAAGAGGACCTTGTAGATTCCCCGTGGGAGCAATGGGGCATTGAAACTAAAAGCCCTCTTTATTTTGTTCAGTATAAAAATTCGACAAAAATCTCCCAAATGACCCTACAACCAATGTTTGGAATTAACACAATGTTACTTGCTACACAAAAAACCAAACAGACTATTATGTTCATTTATAAAAATAATATTGTTAGGCCCTCATCTCCCCCCAAAGTAACATATTACAGTAAGTTATTTCCAAACTCTGTGTGCTAGGCTGTTTCTTTCTAACGCCTTACGAGAGTTTTATCCTACCTGCAAACGCATTTCAAAACAGCACCTCCTGCTTGCAACTCTGAAGTGGAACCATCTATTCTATTAAAGAGTTGACTCTGCCACTGCATTTGACTTAAACATATCCCATGGCAGGAAGTGCCATGGCTCAAAACTCCAGCTTGGATGAAGATTTTATAGCAAATTTGGCAGAGCCTTTGATTGTATTTGGGCCATTAGGGTTTAACCAAGAGGGAAAACAGATAGATGTTATAACATGCTCTGCAGTGTTGCATAATTTGGGAATTTACAAATTACTTTCAACTCTGCAAATAATGCACAACTTGTGTCTTTTTTTCATTTCTTTGTGTTTCTCAGAGTTTGTTTTACGTTGTAAAAAAGGGGCAGGGAACCAACTGTCAGTATGTTTCCATCAATGTTGTTTCGTTTTCATGAACAAACCATTTTGTTTCACTGCTTGGGGGAATGTGGAGATATACAAAGTATAATATGGCTATGGGTCTTCTCTCCTTTCTTGCACCTTCTCCCTTTCTCATTTCTTTCCCCATTCATTGTAACTGTATTTCTGGTGACCACTTTCCAATATACTTTCCAACAGACCCTCTCATTCTCTTCCCTGTATGCCAAACAGTTCTGCCTAGTGATCAATATTAAGAATAACAAAATTGTATAATAGCAGTAGCAATGTTTATGCTTCATTCCATGCATATCCCTTGCACAGAAAAGGGTGGTCTTCTTTTGTAGACACAGATCAGACGTAGTTACATATCCATTCTCCATAGGGGAGTATATGGTAGATTTGTGATCTGCTCTGCTTGGGTAAGTGTTTAACTTTTGTTCTTTTTGTTTCTCCCAAGTTTGTTGGTGGGTACATGTGCCTTCCTGCTGGGCTGGAAGACATGGTGGCGGCATGGTTTTGAAGACTGGTTTTAAAAGTGGGGTGGTCTTTAACCTCCAACATATCCAACAACCTCTAGGCTTCTGGATTTTTTAAAGAGGGTCTCCACCCCCTACCCCCAATTATATGTCTCTGTCTCTCTCTTTCTCTCTCTCTCACACACACACATACAACTCCATTGTCAGACCATGCCAGATAGTTTACAGTGGGGTCTCAACTTACGAACGGCTCAACACGAACATTTCGACTTACGAACCGCTCTCATAGGAATATATGGACTCGACTTGTGAAGTTAGATTCGAGTTACAAACTCTTTTTTTTCCCTTTTTTTAAAAGCTAAGTCATCTTAGGTTAAAAGGAAAAAAAGAAAAAATTCCCCCCTCTAGTGGCAGAAGGCGGAATAGCAGCTTCCCATTAGTTTCTATAGACGAAAAGAGCAGATACGGATTAAATGGTTTTCGATGCATTCCTATGGGAAATGAAGATTCGACTTACAAACTTTTCGACCTGAGAACTGCCTTCCAATACAGATTAAGTTCATAAGTCGAGACCCCACTGTATAATGAGATGGGTGTTGTTTTCATGGGATGACACCAGGGCAAGGTGCCATCATGGCTTCCTCTATAAAGAGAGGAAACCAAGTTAAGGATGGTACTTTCTTCAGACTATTACAGTAAATAGTAGTTTATGACAGCAAGCTAAAATCGTCATTGCTAAATGCTAATATCTACCACCCCATTTCCTTTTGTCTATCCCATAACCCTGTAGAAACATAATGTGGGGTTGCAGAACAGAAATAAGGGTGGGGAGGTTGGATGGAGTAGGGGAATGAGAGGAATGGGCTATGAGGATAAAGGAATGAGTGGGAAATGGTGAAAAATACATAGGCAGAATCCTACTGAGATTTACTACATGGTGAACAAAATTTACACAAATCGTAGCAGTGAATTAGTTGGATGCCTGGTTACATCCTATATTTAATACTTTGTTTCCCCGAAAATAAGACCTAACCTGAAAATAAGCCCTAGTATGATTTTTCAGGATGCTCGTAATATAAGCCCTACCCCCAAAATATGCCCCAGTTAAGTGAAACCTCGCCCTATAGTGCTGCCCTATGCATGCTGGAGTCTGTGGGTAGCATGTGGCCTTGAGTGTGGAGGTGTTGGACGTGTTGGAGTGGTTTTTGCATCGAGTTTTGGAGCCATTCTGGAAATATTTTGCAGAGGTTTTGGGACTTTTTGGAACATTTTGGTGTATTCCTCAAGCGATGGAAAGGTAGGGAACTGAGCATCATCATTTGCATGTCTTTTACTGTGTGTTCTGTGTGTTTTTTGTTTTTTGTTTACTTTTTTCTGACCTCCAGAATGGATTAATTGGTTTTCAATGTGTTCCTATGGGAAATCATGTTTTGGTTTAAGAATGTTTCGCAATACCGGAAAACGCATTCAATTTGTAAACTGAGGTACCACTGAAAATTAAAAAAATAAAATAAAACATCCCCTGAAAATAAGCCCTAATGTGTATTATGGAGCAAAAAATAATACAATACTATGTCTTATTTTCAGGGAAACACGGTAATCCCTAACAGATTCTGGTCACAATGTGTATCAGTAGGAAATGAAAATTTCTGAAAGACACAGAAAAACAAGGAAGCTGTCTAGATGCTAGAACAAAACCAAACAGTATGTTTGGATTATGTATATAGATGGATATGTGCAGTACAAAAACCCATCTCATTTCCCCTTCTGCAAGCCATCCCAACTACAGTGGACCCTTGACTTACAGACGGCTTGACTTACAGACTTTTTGAGTTACAGACTTCTCTGGCCGCAAAATATAGGTTTGACTTGCAGCCTGAGAATTGACTTACAGACCAGAAAAAAACCAAAATGGAACAAAAACGGCCTGTTACGGGATTAATCGGTTTTCAATGCACTGTAGGTCAATGGAGACTTGACCTACAGACTTTTTGACTTGAGAACCACCTTCCAATACGGATTAAGTTCTCAAGTCAAGACCCCACTGTATACAAAGATTACAGCTGTTATGTGGGGAGAGGGAGTTTGATCCTAATTAGGAAAACTATGCAAAAAGAAAAAGAACTAATTCCCTTCACTGGTCCTGATTTAAACTGCACATTCCAGTTTAATGGCTGTGATTTAAACCCCTAAGAGATCCCAGTCACATGTCTTCTGGATTATATCAGGTTACCTTCTGTGTGTGTGTGTATGTATGTATGTACGTATATGTATATGCATATGCATATGTATATATGTATATATGTATATATATGTGTGTATATGTGTGTATATATATGTGTGTGTGTATATATATGTATATTTATATATGCATATATATGTATGTATATGTATAAGTATACATGCATATATGTATGTATATTTGTATTTCATGTCACTTACCATCAACAGTAACTCGAATCCTTCCACTTGCTGATATTGTCCGATTTCCATGGACATTGATTTTGACAATGTAAGTGCCTTCATCACTTCTGTTCAAATGTTTTATCAGCAAGGATGCACTGGGAGGCGAAAGTGTAAATCTGTGCATGTATTCTAAGTCTGGGACAACGGACTGATTCACAGCACTCAGCAGAAATATGTGGATAGTTGGTGGCTTCTCAAACAGCCATATTATCTGGATGTCAGAAACTGTAATATTGAAATTATAGTCAACTGGGAGATTGAGTGGCTGCCCTTCAGTGCCATGGAGTGTATGTGATGGAACTGTCAGCTTTAATGCAGAAGAAATACCTGTAAAAGGAACAAAGTATAGAACGATTAAAATTTGAAATGCATACAGGCAGAGAACAATGGTTACTTTAGCTACTGTTTGTAATATGTAACATCTTAAAGATTTTCTGGGAATATGCACAACTAGTTTCAAAGCATATTAATAATAGCAGTTTTGTGTCCATAAGGTGGATTGTGTCATTAGCCAGGGATTTCAATCTTTACAGCAGAAACCTTTGTGTGCTGTAGGGTCAGAAGATCAGCAGTCGTAAGATTGAATCCAAGCAATGGAATGAGCTCCCGTTGCTTTCTCCCAGCTCCTCGCCAACCTAGCAGTTTGAAAGCATGTAAATGCAAGTAAATAAATAGGTACCGCCTCGGTGGGAAGGTAAACAGCGTTCCATGTATAGCCACACTGGCCACATGACAACAGAAACTGTCTTCGGACAAACGCTGGCTCTACAACTTGGAAACGGGGATGAGTACCGCCCCCTAGAGTCGAACACAACTGACTAAAATGTCAAGGGGAACCTTTACCTTTACCTGTTTTTCAGATGATAACAGAATGTTTAGATTCATTGAGGAACTCCAGTCCTCTGAAGATGCCGGCCACAGAGACTGGTGAAACGTCAGGAAGAACAACCTTCAGAACACGCCAAAGAGCCCGAAAAACCCACAACAACCATTAGATCCCGGCTGTGAAAGCCTTCGCAAATACATTTATTTATTTATTTATTTATTTATTTATTTATTTATTTATTCATTTATTTATTGCATATTTATACCCCGCCCCTCTAGACCATGTCTACTCGGGGCGGCTTACAACATATTTACAACATTGTAAATTCTGTCTTTGTATTATAATTTCTGTATCTGTAGAAAAATTTAAAACATAGAGCAAGAGTACAGCTGCACACTTTCAACCACAGAGGTATTTCAGATAAGATTGTATGGCTGTGCATATGCTCATTTCTTGTGTAGCAGAGGCAGGAGTGCCTCTTTGGGGGTCTAACTAATATAGCAACCATCCTCCTTCTGTTCTCCTGTCTTTTAAACCCATCCTGGTTGCAGCTATGGAATATATCCAAGCAAAGAACAGTTGAAAAGGGACTCTTTTGTTTTGACTGTCATCAAGAGAGGAACTGCCTGCAGGGGAGGACAGGTTGTTCTCTTTGAATATGGCCTGATGATTTATTCAGATATAGCCATGATTGTAAACCATCTGCAACAACAGAAGGAAGTAGGAAGTAGGGAGGGTTTTGTGCAAAGCTGCTTTGAGCTTATTTTTCATATATTAATCAGAATGTTGGTGGCATTTAAAATTTGCTCAGAGAAGCATCTCAGAGACCACTTTAAGATCTCTGCTAGGAAGTGAGCTAATAACCACCAGCACTGCCAGTATTAATATAACTTTATTTAATTCACATTCATCTGATGTTCTAAGAATCTCCTAAAGGCTCTGGCCCTTAAAATTAAAGTTCAAACCTGCCAAGATAATTTTCCCTCCAGCACCTCCTGATTGACAAACTGAAGTAGGATTCGGCCCTTTTATAGATATGTGTAATTCAAAGCCACCACGTGATGGAAGATACGCTGCTAATGTTAGAGAATCCACCAGGATTAGAATGGAAGTAGTTAAATTGGTTCATTTATGGAATAACGAAAATAGTTCTATCTATCTGATAATGCAATCTGATACAAATTATTTCTTCTTGCTCACCTCTAAGGTCTTGGGCTTTGGAACTGAAATCTCAGGGATGCTGCCATTTTGGCAACCCTAGATTTTTGGATATGATCTTATGGCCTTATGACTGTTGCTAACTAGGAATGCAAGTAGCAATTTGTTAATCGGCACCTAATTGCTGGTGCCATTTACAAAATTACACTTACACTGATGTAAATTTACAGTAGGATTCCAGCCATAAATGCATGAATAAATAAAGCAAGTTGTCCTCAATGCGGCTACTTAGATTTCATTGCCTTTATGTGCAAGCTGTGAGCAGGACTGTAGCTATAATTATTCCATTATATTTGTACTGAAGTTGTGGGCATTTACCTCTGAAATCAGCTTGGGTTTTTTGAATATATCACTCCATTCCTGTTGATATTTGAAAACACAGAAGCTTGGCATGCAAGCTCTTCTTGTTACCTCTGTTATCCGAACTCCCTCTTCATTGTGTTCAACCCATGCTAAAATCATATTAAAGCAAAAGTGGGAAAATGTGGCCTATATGTTAATGTTTGTATTGAGAGCACATTCCTTAATGTATGCTAAAAGCTCTTAATATTCCAGTCTTCATGATGGACTACTAGAATTATCTTTTTGAAATGTCAGCGGTTAGGCAGCCAAGAGATGAAGTGGGTATCTGTTCAAATATAATGTTATATGGTATTGTATTTTCAAATGGTCTGCCCTCTTGGCAGAGCTTGCCAAACAGCTGCACTTTCTTGCTGAGTTTTTGTCTTTGATATAGTAAATTCACCTCTTGGAGGGCTGTCATGTTGGCCACTGACATTGTCAGACATTGGAAAAGATGAGATCAACAGCATCAGATTAAGAGAGATCAGATAAGAATGAGAGGGCAATCAGTCTTAAAGATGTTTCCTACTATAAAAAATGAGAGTTGGATGGACTGGTAAAACACCCATATATTACTATTAAAGAGATAGTAGCTTTCGCTTTCCAGCAACATTCCTTCAAGGTCTAGGTAATGATGTCAATGTGGAAACACCCATTCCTTGTGTGGTGTTCCACAAGTGTTCCTCTACCCAATGTGCATCTTCTTTATAAACAGAGGTATTATGATTTAAATATGAAGGATCACATCTCATCCTGAAACCCACCATAGCTATACCACCAAGGAGAAACAAAAAATGTTGATCCATCTGAGCAAAACAGTTCAGAACGTGTTAAATTCCAAAAAGACCAAGTCTGTTGTAAAGCTAATGGATGTGACTTACCAATTCAAGACCAAGCTTGTTTGAAATACCTGACATCATAAGAGGGATACTTCACAACCTTGTATTGATATGTCATTGCTGGGGAAAATCCATGTATCTCAACTACTCCAAAAACTGCAGCTACATTTAGGGGGACTGGGAAGTCTGATAAGGGCTGGTGAATGATGTTGGTATCTCCACAGATCAATATGTCTCATTGCTCACTATCTCGTTTCATTTCATTTTTTAATAAAATGCAGCATTAGAGCATAAATGATGAGATCACGGTGCATATGTGAAATCTCAGCCTAGCCATGTATTCTTAAACTGAATATAGCCTTTATCAAATCACCATTTGTCTGCTTCAGCAACTCCCAATCTATTGGTAATATGAAGTTATAAAGACCTAAACCTTACAGCATTGTTGAAAAGATTGTTAAGATGTGACAGTGAAAGTCTCTGGAGAAAACCTTTTGAGCGCAATCTAAATCCACAGATCAAATTTCCATCTCCAAATCTAATTTAATTTAATCTAATTTAAAGACCAGTAAGGATCTGAAAGTTAAAAAATAGCTATATAGATTCCTAAGCAAGCCATAAACTTTCATAATCCCAATTATGCCCTTGAGATCAGTTTCTATGTGTTGGATATAAACAGGCTCGTTTTTTGCCAAAGTGACCTCCAAGTGAAACTCAGGCTGCATTTTGCTTCTATATCCGTCTTTAAGTATTAGTAAGCACAACATTGCCCTTGTTGACTGGAAACATTCTGCAGCCTTTTTGTTTGTTTGTTTAAATAAAACCAGTGACATCATATTTTGAGTTTTATGCATAAACTAAGATCACTATGGGAAAATGTTCCTCGTTTATATAAATCTGGTTTTATGCAAGGGTAGTACCCTAATATGTAACGAAAGTTCTTTATATTATATACATTTAAAGAACTTTCCTTACATCTATATAGATTAAAGGAAGAAAACATATGTGTGTGTGTGTGTGTGTGTGGTTGTTGTTGTTGTTGTGGTTCTTGTTGTTGTTTAGTTGTTAAGTCGTGTCCGACTCTTCGTGACCCCATAGACCAGAGCCCGCCAGGCCCTCCTGTCTTCCACTGCCTCCCGGAGTTGGGTTAAATTCATGTTGGTCGCTTCGATGACACTGTCCAACCATCTCATCCTCTGTTGTCTCCTTCTCCTCTTGCCCTCACACTTTCCTAACATCAGGGTCTTTTCCAGGGAGTCTTCTCTTCTCATGAGTTGGCCAAAGTATTAGAGCCTCAGCTTCAGGATCTGTCCTTCCAGTGAGCACTCAGGGTTGATTTCCTTCAGAATGGATAGGTCTGTTCTCTTTGCAGTCCAGGGGACTCTCAAGAGTCTCCTCCAGCACCCCAATTCAAAAGCATCAATTCTTTGGTGGTCAGCCTTCATTATGGTCCAGCTCTCACTTCCATACATCGCTACTGGAAAAAACCATAGCTTTGACTATTCGGACTTTTGTCGGCATGGTGATGTCTCTGCTTTTTAAGAAGCTGTCAAGGTTTGTCATCACTTTCCTCCCAAGAAGTAGGCGTCTTTTAATTTTGTGGCTGCTGTCACCATCTGCAGTGATCATAGAGCCCAAGAAAGTAAAATCCTTCATATGCCTCCATATCTTCCCCTTCTATTTCCCAGGAGGCGATGGGACCAGTGGCCGTGATCTTAGTTTTTTTATGTTGAGCTTCAGCCCATTTTTTGTGCTCTTCTCTTTCACCCTCATTAAGAGAATCTTTAATTCCTCCTCACTTTCTGCCATCAGAGTGGTATCATCTGCATATCTGAGGTTGTTGATATTTCTTGTGGCAGTCTTAATTCTGGTTTGGGATTCATTCAGTCCAACCACTTCATTAGCTCTGGAGCTACTTGTCCTTGTCCTCCACTCTTCCTCAGTAGCATGTTGGACGCCTTTCTACCTGAGGGGCTCATCTTCTGGCACCATATCTTTTAGCCATTTGTTTCTGTTCACGGAGGTTTCTTGGCAGTGGCTTGCCAGTTCCTGCTCCAGGTGGATCGCGTTTAGTCAGAATTCTCCACTATGATCTGTCCATCTTGGGTGTCCCTGCACAACATAGCCTATAGCTCAAGCCCCTTCGCCACAACAAGGCAGCAATCCGTGAAGGGGACTATATATAGTGACCCTTCCCAGCATTTTCTAGGTGTAGAGTTGTCAGAGATAGTCTTTCCTTCCAGTAGCCTTGTTGGATCACATAGCTTGGCGAAGTCCTTCTTATTGTTCTCTAATGCAAGGTGTGGGAGGGCTGCTGTATGTGTAAGCTGTAAGCAAAAAGACTGAAAGACCATTCAGTCTGAAAATATAATCAAAATAAAAAGTATTGTGGTGCCTTAAAGACTAGCAGATTTTTCTCAGTGTGATTATAACCTCTATGAAATATTGGTTTAGCCCAGAGGGATGAGACTAAGAAAGACTGGGGCTGTGAGTAAGAGATTTGAATCAGAAAAAGCAGGACAACCGAAGAGGCTGGAGCTGCTTTGTTGCCACTTAAACTGCTAAGCCTCTTAGCAACTTGGTTTAGATATAATTCCTACATCTTTGTGTTGGAGGGGTGAATACGCATAGTGAATTCATGAATTGCATACAATTGAATTCATATTTCATTTTAGGATTTTGAGGATTCCACATGTGGAGTCGATTCTTTTATGCATTGGACTCCCAATCCAGTTGAGGAAGGTATCTTGAAGTTTTGTATTAATTTGATTTTAAAGAGACACCTGAATTTTGCAGTTCTATATGCAGCTTCTATTATAAAACTGTAAATAAGAAGTCGTTTTGTGAAACTGAGTTGTCAAGGCCCACCAATAGATTCCTCAGTAAGCAAACAAAAGTTAAAGGCATTATATGAGCTTTTGTGGATCATAATACATGTCATCAGGCACATGGAATGAAATTTGTAGTGGCAGGTTTACTGTATATACAAATATACATTGCAAGGGTGAAGATCAAGTGAAGAGAGTGTCTGAGGAAGTGGATTTGTCCACAAAAACTCACATTTAAACATAACATTTAATTTTTAAAGTGCCACAGCTAATCACAAAAAGCTCATTAAATCAATGTAACTTACAGAGGAATTGGCCATACCTGCACAGATTCAATGGGGCTACTCTAGTTGCAATGTATTGCTCTATTTCTGCTTGTATGTTCTAATTAATTGTGGTTTATATTTTATTGTTTTAACATTTTTTTCTGGGAAATGGCTTTCTCAGATTCTGCCTAAAATGTAATGCAGAAATATTTTAATGAACTAAATAATGTAATATAAGGAGAGGCCTCGTCCCCCGCTCCGCTACATTGTGAATCCAGCCTCATGGATGAAAGGACAGGCATGTGTACCACCTAAGCAAATATTGGTGTGGCACTCTTGCCCTTCCCTCTTGGCAACTGCTCCCTTCTCCTCTAGATAAGGAAAAAGAATAGAGTACCCCAAAGGCAGGTGCCAGAGATCCAGGCTGTCTCAGGTTAGACTACTACCCCAAAACTTGCTGGATCTTATGGTTGTGCAAAGCCATCAATCCTCTCACTTCCAGTGGCACTGTTCCCTGTGGACTGTGGTGTAGCTTATTAGTCATTCCGAGCCAATGAAGTCAAGGCTGACAATCTGGTCTTCTCTTCACTAACATACATGCATGTCATTTAAGCCATGAAACTGGAAAGAAAGTGTTTTTGATTTGAGCCCTTGTAGTGTTTTTGTCTTCAACTTCCATTTTATTGCTCAGAAGGCAGATGCAGCATGATCATCCTTTTTCAAAAACAACGGCAACAAAAAACTAAGGGTTATACAAGACATGTTTCCTATGGAGACCAAACATGTTTAAGAACCCTCTGTGTTGTTTAAGTATGAATGAATGTTGTTAGCGGGGAAGAGAAATTAAATGTTAAGCCTTTCCTGAGTATAGAGAACATTTATATTGCAGACCTATTGAATCTCTGTACAGTAGATTCCCAGAGGAGTGTAGTGGAGAACAAGTTTGAATCCCCACCTTGGGTCCTTTTTAAAGGATATTTTTAAGACAAACAAACAGACAAACAACCCATGGAAATTCACTGGTGGGGTGGAACTGATAAAACCACTACTTATATATCTCACTTACCTTGAAAGCCTTACTAGGCTTGCTATAAGTTAGTTCTGACTTGAAGGTACAACACACACACACACACACACACACACACTGAATCTCAAACTAACTGATACTAACAAAATGCCTTCAGAAATTGCTTACTGATCTGTTAGTCAGAGAGAAGTGTATATTTATGGAGCTGGGTGTATGGCAGTAATTGTATCCATAAAAAACAGAACTATCACACAAAGTAGAAAGATAAGGGATGCTTTACGGGCAGAAGGGTGAAAAGTCAGAATTTTGGTGGCAATACCCTTGTGGTGATTTCATGCTAACTATTCTTTTATGTATGCAAGAAATAAATGTCAGTATAGAGTTATTATATTGTATTACTGTGTATGTTGCCCTGAAGAGCCACTGCATTATTTGAATACTTGCAATAAGGCAGCAAGAATGTTCATTACATTCTATTTTCACACTACTTTTCTATTTTTCCAGACAGATTACACATTAAATACGTAAATGAATCTAGCACAATCTTATAGATTTCTACTCTCAGATTAGTGAGGTTCACATCCAGTTCTGTGGGTACAAAACTGCAGGCTCCCTAAGTAAGATACCAAGGTGGTGTCATAGCCCGTGACAAGCATAACAGCAAGATTGCAGCCGCAGTTATTGAATGGAGACAGGTTTCTGTAATATATTTTAGATTAAAATAGAGTTCCATACCATTTGGAAACTGACAATTTTACAATTGCAGAGTTAGTCAAGGTAGAACAGTGGGAAGTATCCAATGAAGTATTGCAGAAAGAACGGTCACACAGAAAACCACAGTAAAGTTTCATGTTCTTACCTAAAAGAAGAGCAGAGATTTTCAACTGCAAGTTGAAATGTAGTGCTAAAGGGCTCCATGAAAGCATCTTGTCGCTTGCAAACACCCTTTTTTTGGTGTATAGTTGGAGCCTGGTCCAGCAACTGTGGGTTATATTTGCTAGGGAAATCAGCAGTGAGTTATTATCAGTCCCTACCTTGTCTGGCCTTAGGTGATTTGAATATGTGTATACAAAAGACACAGGGAGTGGGAACACCTGTTGGATTAGTGTTCAACATCTTCATTGCCTTTGACCCTATCATAATTCCCCGCTCCGGTATGTTCACAGCAAATACAGAGCATGATAAATGGGGCATGATATGAATCACTCAGTACTGATTAAAAAAAGAGGGGGGTAAGGAGAAAGATCTTTTAAAACATATGCAGATTACATTAACACAGCAGCAAACAGTTTAAAGAACTTCACATAGAAGATGTATTCACTTGCATGTCATCATAAAAATAAGAAAATCAACTATTTTTTTTGTTAGCCCATCTTTTTAGAAGGAGCTAGATATTATTGGTTCCTCATAAAATTAAGCAGTAAGTACTGTATTATTAAATCTAGTCTAAGTCAAAAGGAAAAAAAATGTGAACATGATACATATATTTCTGTGGTTAATCCTGGTGCCAGCTCTAGGAGCTTAAAGCCATTCAGCAGAGCCCTGTTAACTTTCAAAGGAAAGAGACTGCAAACTGAACAGAGAACTGAACGGGCCAGGACTGCAAAGTCTTGAAATACATATATTTGACTTACCTGGTCGAAATCCGAGGATTATAAATAGCCTAGCTGCTTTTGGTTGTAAAAAGAAAAAGAATAAAGAGGGAGGTTGTTTTATTTTTTCCAAGCTGCTTAACACATATTTTAAAAATAAAACAAATATAGAAACTTATTCTGGTATTTAGGTGGGCTCTATAGATGGAATACTTTAGAGTAGATCCTGGAGGGAGACCATAGGCTGTGAGTAGAACTAGGTTTGTCAGTCAGCTCCTGAACCCATGTCAAGCTGTTGGTTTTAACTTTTAAAAGCCTTAATGGTCTGGGGAATATAATTTTTTAAAATTTCAGTACAACGTCCTACCTTCCAATAACAACTATTAGAAATGTCATAGATTACAACTTGTCTCATTACAACAAATAACAATAAGAATAATCTTGCTAAATTACAGGGAAGGTTGTCAATAAGTAAACAAAAAAGACTAACAAAAAAAGTATGACTGCTTAAGAGAATTGACAAATTTGTCTCACACTTAGTGGTAATTGGTCTAAAAGCAAAACCACAATAAACACTTAGCCAGCCTGTTTATTTCCAAACAGCTGGCAAGCTTACTTTCCCCAAAACAAAGTACAACAAATCTGAGAATTTTGCTTGAAACTCACACTCCAACCTAAGAATTATTCTTTCTCACAATTGCTAAAAGTGGTCTGTTTTAAAGTGTGGACCTTCTTTTATAAAAACCTCCTCCACATGTCATGAATTTATGTGGATATCAATTCCTATAGTAGAACTAGAACACCTGCTCTGGTGGATGAGTGGATCAAATATACAACAGATCTAGGAAGCTAAGTACTGTACTGTACTTCCCATTTTTGTGGGATCTGTCAAGAAAAGCAACAGAAAGAAGAACCATCCATGAGGTGGGGCGTGTTTGCCTTCTGCTGCAGACTTGGGACAGAGCCAGACCACAACATTTTGCTACCTGAGGTGAGGGATAGTTATGTGGCTCCACCTATCAAACCCCATGTACACAGGCCGATAAGACTGGAAGATGAATTTTATTTCAACATATCATCCCAGAGTGCAGGACACACAACAATGGGCTCAAGTTACAGGAAGCCAGATTTCAGTTTTATATCAGGAAAAACTTCTTAACTGTTAAAGCAGTACAACAGTGGAACCAATTACCTTGAGAGATGGTGCTGTTACCCCAAATGGTTAACTGTTCTTTATAGCCTGAAGCTGAAGGTTCAATACTTTGGCCATCTCATGAGACGAGAAGACTTCCTGGAAAAGACCCTGATGCTGGGAAAGTGTGAGGGCAGGAGGAGAAGGGGATGATAGAGGATGAGATAGTTGGACAGTGTCACCGAAGCTACCAACATGAATTTGACCGAACTCTGGGAGGCAGTGGAAGACAGGAGGGCCTGGCGTGCTCTAGTCCATGGGGTCACGAAGAGTCGGACACGACTAAACAACTAAACAACAACAATATCCTGGGGAGAGGGTCCATGAGAGGAGAGAGACGGCCCAGCCAGACTACTGACAAGAAGACCATACACCAATAATTTTGGGTTAAGCACTATTCATGTAATATTTACTGATGAGACATAAGACATAGGATATAAGACAAAAGGTATCATACTTCCTCATTCATACTTCCCATTCACACAAGTTACTCATCCAAAAGGCCCTTCTCTGGGGGTGATCAGTCCTCAGAAAAGGTGATGGGAGTTGTTCAAGCACTGTTCTGAAGCCCACCTGTCTCTTTCTGGGCCATCCTTCTTATAGCCATAGAACTCCCTTGTGGGCAAGCAGGGGTCAGAGATTCTGGTTTCCTGGGGAGATACAGTCTGCTGCCATGCAGGAATGCTTCCTTTCACATGTACAGTTTGTTCCATCCGCCAGAGATTTGGCTTCAGCTAGCCTGCTTCCTCTTTCTTGTATGGAGAACTGGTTATAGTCCCCCTTCTTCCTTTTTTCTATCTGAACAAACAAGTCCACATTTAGAATGTTTTCCACATCTGTGGTTTCTTACTGATATAGAAACTTGAACTCTTGCAGTTCTTTGTAGATTTGTATCAGGCTCACCATCCCATCTTCCCTTGCAATGTTTCCATCTTCTTCTCAGGTCTGGGGTGATGGTCTTTCTGGAACCCACACACACTCTGTCACTGTCACTCATAACAAACTCCCCCTCTTGATACCAAATGTCATCATTTGGGATCATAATCGAAGGAAATCATATGGCACAATAGTAAAAGGAACGACAAAAGACACAGGAGCTGATTAGTATACATTCATCAGTTATGTAAGTCCTTTTAGACCAGGGGTCTCAAATATGTGGCCCGGGGGCCATTTGAGGCCCTCCGGACAGTAGTATGTGGCCCCTGCCTTGCCTGTCCCCCCTGAAGCTCCCACACATCCTCTGCTGTCAAGAGTAAAAAAAAAAAGCATTGCCTCGCTCACTGACTCTCCCCCAAGACAGCACCTCTTGCACCCTCCATCCAGAACTGCAGCCTGCCAGCCAGCTTGCCTGTCTGCGTTGCTAGCCCTTTCCCAATCCTGAGGGTGCTGCTACTGCTGCCTTGGGAACCCAGCCCCACTCTCCTGGGTCTTTGTGACCTCACAGAGCCCCACCTCTCTGCTGGCAGATAAAAGGGGCTTGCTGGGCAGGGCAGGAAACCAGAAGGGAGGCCAGTGGCCAGAGGGCAGTCTGGCGGACAAGAGCAGCAGTGGCTGCAGGGGACCCAGCCCTTCTGCCCAAGGCAAGTTCTCTTGCGAAAGCAGATGAACTTGCTAAGTGGGCTTGCGAGTTAACAGCTTGAGGCTGGTGGAGATCTGTGGCTTGAAGCTGGCTGATGTTGGCGATGGACCAGGGGGAAGTCAGTGGATGTTGGCAGACAGAAGCTGGTGGATTCTCCCTGCGTAAGCTGGCTGAGGCTGCAAGGCGGAGGCCGGCAGAGGTTGGCGGATGAAGCTGAGGGATGTTAACCTCCTGAAACCAGCTGCCAGAATCTTGGTGGATATTGGTGGATGGAAGCCTGGGCCTGTGTGTGAATGGCTGGTGGAGTGAAGGTGTGTGTGTGTGTCGGGGGAGTGGCTGGTGTTTGTGTGTTTTTGTGTGTGTGTGTGAATGGGTTGGCTGGCGTTCCATGGGGATGTCGCCGGGCGTGTGTGTGACCCAAACATTTGGGAGCTGGCGGAGGCTGGCTTCAGAAGCGGAGTGGAAGAGATGAATGGGTGAATATTCCTGGTGAAAGCCAGTGGATGTTGGCAGGCGGAACTTCGGGATGAAGTTGCCAGAACATTGGTTGGTGGATACGCCTGGGTTGAAGCCAGTTGATGGCAATGGACGAGCTCACCCCTTAGTTGTTGTTTTTCTCTCTCTTTCTCTTGCAGGGCCCGATGCATCCTCTTCCCCAGGGGGATGTGAGGGACCAGAAGGCAGGTGTCCTGCTGGAGCTGAACCAGGCCGTTGTCTCTGCTGAGGATACCCATTTGGCCTCTTTTCCAAAACAAATAAAAGAATTTTCCAAAATGGATTTGAAGTGTTGTCTTGTTTGTCAGGGGCTGTCATGGGATTATCTTCCCCATTCCCTCATTATATCTGGGGCCCAATGCCTGGGGTGGGTATGAAGTCATGGTGTGGGGCCCTGTGATGTCACAGGAATTGGGAAAATATTTCTCCATGCATGTGTGAGGGAGTGAGCTAGGCATTGTGGGTTCCCTGTCTGAGCTCCTAAGCAAGTACCGGTATATTATGTGTCATGTTGGACAGACACAGGAAGCCAGTGAGCCCTGGTGCCATTTGGAGAGGGTTGGAGTTGGGTACCCAAACACTATGGCCACCCCATGACAATAAACGAGACTCGCTCCTTCCCTTCCACCACTGCTCCTCACATTTGTTTGCCTGGCCTGGAGATTCAGGGCAGCCCAACCATTTCCTGGCACAGGAGCTCAATCTCTGAGAACTGGCAAGCCTCATCTTCATCATCAACACCATGAGCACTCCATGTACAACTCCTTGCAGAGTACAAGTGGGGAGAAAATATGTCACTTCAAAAAGGCTTCCAGTCCAACCTCTCACGCCAATGCCACAACCGAGGAAATGGAGATGGGCAATGATTTGGAGATGAGTGTACATTAAAATTCATGTGGGTCTATGCCATGGATAGATGGCAAAAATACATTGGTGTTGCAAAATCTGCTGCTTGAGGGCAGTGGATGCCTCTGAGTGCCTAGTGCAGTGATGGTGAACCTTTTTTGAGCCTGAGTGCCAAACTGCAACACAAAATCAACTTATTTATTTCAAAGTGACAATACTACAATTAAAACCTGAATGCTGAAGTTTTAGTTTAGAAAAAACAACTCCTGTACTGCAAGTGTTAAATGCTTGTTCCTCCCCCCCCCCGGGCAGTATTAACAAATACATATTTACTGGTCCTCCAATCCCCCATTGGGCTAGACGGGTAATGGTCACTATGCGATGACCACTGCACCAGCAGAGGGGAGTGCCGAAATCCAGGATTGGAGGACAGGGAAGTATTTCTCTATGGTGACTTATGGCTCGTGTGCCAACAGAGAGGGCTGTGTGTGCCAGCTGTGGCACGCGTGCTATAGGTTTGCCATCACTGGGATAGAGTGTCAGGAGACTTGGCTTCAAATTCCTGCTCAGGTGTAGAAACTGTGGGTGATGGCAATTTTAAACCACTTCTTGAACATCCTGCATACCTTGGAAGTGCCTTGATGGTGCATAACAACCACATGGTCTATTTGTCTGGGTGCTGAGTCAAAATCTTTTTATTTATCAGTTCTATATATCCTTTCCTCAATCCTTACACTCCCCCCCTCCGCTGTCCAGGTTTGTTTCCTTTGATGTCAAAAAGCTTTCCTTTCCAATCATAGTCATGCCTGCTTTCTCTTCATGTTCCTTTCTTTATTTCCCTATAGGTGACCAAGATTTTATGTTCCCCAATATGTATAGCTCACTTTTGGACTCAAGAGACTCTGCAAGGCATTTAACACTTGTAGAATTCAAAATATTTATTTCGCAGCCATTAAAGCATCACATACGCAAAGGTTATCCTGTAAAAATGTTGTTCTTTAAAATTGGTCTCTGTTGTTTTTTGCATAAACATACAATGAAGTAAGCTCTGGAGTCTGTACGAACAAATTAAAAAACCTATAGTCTGGCAGTACCTTTTATTAGAATCAGGTAACGTCTAGGACTGTTGAGGGAAATGAACAAAAATGGCATTTAAAAATAAATGAATCCAAATTGTACTCAGATTTGTCTCCATCCAGGTAAAACACACACGTAGGGAATGAAAGTAAATAGAAACCAGCAAATTATACAACGTTTGATGACTATTTGAGTCATGGTGTTCCTGACTTTATGGTAAAGGGCGTCAGGTGTGATGATGGTGAGTTTAAGAGGATTAGCCTTTACAGCAACCTGTTGGACATTTTGTACAAGAAATCCACTTGGCTCTACATCTGACACTAGTCTTAGCGCCACTTCCTAACTGAAATATTAAACGCGTAATCACTGCAACACCTATAAGCCATTCCCACCCACAAACTTCGATACAGGGCAATGGACTATAGAAAAAAATAGAGCAATTTTTAAATGTTTGAAAGCGTCCCCATTTTCTATAGCCTAGCTACTAGTTGGGCGGGGTATAAATGTAACTAAATAAATGCATAAATGGCTAAATAAATCAGTGAGTTGATATACTGTTGTTCCTCCCTCTTGTAAAGAAAACTCTTTACTTCCGCCTAAGAGGAGCGGTTTAAGAACAACCCGGAAGTTCGATCTCCAGCGGGTATATTGCCTCTCTCTTTTGACGTGTCTCTATGAGGCTCTCTTCTGCCCAAGATGTCCACTAGTGGAGACGACAGGACAGGCCTTCCGCTGAGCTTTAGGGGAGTTGTAGTTCCCTGGGCGCCCTCTATTCCGCAACATAAGGGAAGGAAGCGCTCATGCTGGACTACAAACCCCGTGAAGCTCAGGCGCATGGAAGGAAAGACGGTCACGTGATGTGCAAAATGGCTTCGCCGTGTCGGAGCGAGGCGAGTTCGACGAATGACAGGAGTTTGTGAGGGAGGCCGCCCGCCCGGCAAAGGGGTGCCATGCATAAAATCAAGTCGCTCATGACCCGACAGGTAAAGGGGGACACAAAAATTAGATTTTTAGGAGCCGTAATAATAAAGATACAAGCTGAGGAGATGCGGGACGTGAAGTAGATGGAAAGAGCATTCAGTGGAAGGACTGGGAGGGGTGTCAGTGGGTTGTTATGTAGCTGTTGAACAAGGCCAAACATCTCATTAATTTAAAAAATGCTGTCTCAAAAGGCTTTGAAGGCGCTCGCCGTCTCCGTGGGTAGGGTAATCTGGCTGTCATTAGCTGTCGCATAAAGCCTGCTGTTTTATGGAAACGGATAGAGAGCACAGCTTTACCCACAATTCCTTATGGACAAAGAGGTTCTACAAAGGATCTGTTCCTTGTAAGTGTGTTCTGGTCTTGTTATTTTTGCCCTGTTGAACTTCGATAGGCAAGGATATGCTGCTTCTTGTGTGGACATGGAGGTTGAAGGGAAGGATTGATTGTAAGCATGGGAACTGATACTGGCTTTCTTAGAGTTCCTGAGAAGTCAGGCGGGGAGATCCCTGAGTCTCCATCAGTTGTAAAGAAAGATCTCTAGACAGTTTTTCTATCCTAGTAAGGTTGAAGAGGGATAGAACTACCTGGCACCACTTCCTTTGTTGGAGGGAAGGAGAGTATGAGAATTAATGGGGAGAGTTTATTGGAGAAATGACAAGAGGTACTGTGAGAAATAGAAGAGACAGGTTTATGGGCAGTCCATAATTTTTCTCTATGCTTGCGCTACAATTATTTTGATTTAGAGATTAACTTGGAATCTGAGTATAATTTTGGTTACCAGAGTGGACTGTAATAATTACGTCCCGTTGTTTGCCTGCCTGTTAACTTTTGTTGGTGAAAGAATGCTATTGGAATTTGGGAGCTTCATATTCCTCAATGATTTAATAATCATGTGCTGTCAAGTCATTTCTGACTTATGGTAGAAAAAACTCAGAAGTGGTTTACTGTTGCCTTTTTCTGGGGTACTATACCTTGGGACCCCTGCAGCTTGCCCAAGGCCACACAGATTGTCTCTGCTCAGAAGAGGCACAGTGAGGAATTGAACTCCCAACCTCTAAACTACGGCGCTATCCAGCCAGCTTTGATGATAAAAAGGTTCATGCAATGTGATATTTTCAGGGTAAGTCTATTCTAGAGAAGTGTTCTGTATTTTGTGTTTTTCAATATTCCTGGTAACAAGGAATATATTGCAGAATTCATTGAAGCTCAGATTTCCACAAGGGGAGGCATTTCTGTGGATGCACAAAAACGTTTATTTCTGCACACATCTGTTGTTTCCAGCGTGGGTTCCACTGATTAATTTAATAAAGTATAATATAGACTGTTGCTGGTCTTCTAATTTTTGTTGACAGAGAAACATCTATTCATAGCTAGTCCTTTGTGCCGCTGCTATTAAAAATATGGTAACAAGTTATGAATTATATTCGCGAAGGCTTTCACGGCCACAGAGAAACATCTATTCATAGCTAGTCCTTTGTGCCGCTGCTATTAAAAAATGGTAACAAGTTATGCATTCATTATTTCATTTGATCAAGTGCCAAGGGTTTGTTTTATTATATTTTCAAAATGTACTGGGCTGCATGTATATATTAGTATGGAAAAATGCAGTGCTCTTAAATGTTATTGAGATGTGTATTGAGAGTTATTTCACAAAAATTATGTTATTTTCCTTTGTTCAACAGCTGGGGGTGCCAAACACATGCAATTCATCCCTTTTGTCTCACAACTATCCTTGCTATATAGGCATTATATAGTCTTCTTTGTCTTTTTGCGATCTTAATTGTCAAATGATTGTAGCACAATAATAACTTTAATAATATTGTTAGTTGCAGCTGATGCTGTACACAGCATGCAATTGTAGAAAGCACTAAACATGTTTCTTAAATTCTCTCTCTTTTTCTCTCCAAGGGTCTCAAAAGTCCACAAGAGAGTATTCATGATTTGAGTCCCACTGAAAACTTCAGAATTCCAAGCAAGGTATGATTGGCCTACATTCTGCTAGGCCATGTTTGCGTTCAGTAGTTCTGTACTTTATACTGTAATTTGCTTGTGTTCATTGCTTGTTCAGTACATAACAGTAACTTGCTATATATGTGACGGGCAAGTGATAGCCTCTGGTCAGAATTTGGGCCTCTGGGAAGCTGTTATCAGCTCCTCATGTGCTTTCTGGGTCCCAGTAGTATTGCCTAAAACCAATTTTACTGATTTTAAACTAGGACCAAGGGCATGACGGGCAGTTTCAGGGGATTGCAGATGGTTGTTAGGCTTCAGCATTAAGCTTGGATGATTTTTCAGTTTCTCTTCTCTTCTCCCATCCCAAACTCTGTAGTGGTTAGCCTGAAGAAGTGTCCTTGAGGATTCAAAGGCCTTTTGGTGATATTCCAGAGTAAGAGTATTATAAGAGTAACCGTCAAGTGGATTCTGACTTACGGCAATCCATTCTAGGTATAAAATATAAGTGGTTTACCATTCCTATTTTCTGTGTTCTCTGGCACTGTGCAGCGTGTCCAAGGCTACACAGAGTGGGTTTTCTGCCAGAAAGCATGGTGCAGAATTGAAGCCCCAACTTTTGACACCGCAGCTCTCCAGCCAGCTTGGATTTTGTTCATGGATCACAGAGCTGTGTTATTGGTTTTTTTTCCTGTTATGGTGAGGCTCCTCTAGTGCTTCTCATCTTTAAATCACTTTTCAGTTACTTTTATTGACTTAGGAAGTCCTTGGATTAAAATGATCATATGTAGGTTATAGGAATATATTAGTGATTTCACCGTGGCTTGCCTTGGGTGAGAGCAGAAAAAGGTTGCTTTGTACTTTTGCTGCCCGTGTATGTATTAAGAGATCATATGCATGATCACATGTTGTGTTTAGACTTTATGTTCTTCTTAGATGTGGATTTACTAGGGAGTGGAAATATTTGGTAGAGTGATCCTGAGATGTTAGCCCGTTTTAACATTTTTCCTTCAGCCACCCATGCCGGTCGATTTCTCAATATCCCTTGTGAAAAAAGACTCTGTTTTTTTTTGTTTAGAGACGCCTGACACCCTGCTCATTCCCACCTCCGACTTTTTTTTCTTGAACCTTGGATCTCTTATTTTTCCAATTCTCCTAAGACAATTCTTTCTATTTTCATGAGCGATGAATGTAATGCCCTGACTGCTGCTGTTGCAGGTTTCCTATCTGCAATTCTGAAATTGTCCCCTGCTTCTCGCTCCTAATTTGTGAAATCTGTGTAATTTCAATTTTTCTATTTTGCTTGTGTGGTTGTAACTTGTAAATGCCATTAAAGGTTTCAGAACAGACAGACAGACTTTATGTTCAGTTTTTGTCAGCCATAATCTTTGAACCAGTATTCTTTATTACTGTTTGATAATGATCAAGCTCCTTCTTGTCACAGTCTTTATGTATAACCAACATTCTGTAACCACTGAGCATGCTCAGTCATTATAGGACTGGTATTTCTGCGTAGGACAAGATTGCCCTCTTAGTTTCCTCACTAGACATGGGGGGAGCTTCATATTCGTATCCCAGCCTGGTCCACTCACCGGGCTCCTTGCATCAGATGGCGGTGACATCATGCCAATTGCGGATATAGTCCCGCTGGCACTGCCCCTCCTCTCTGCTCAACTAACTGTTCAGTAGCTGGGTGGGAAGACTCATCCAGGATATGAATGCGAAGCTCCCATGTCTATTCCCCACCTGTTTTTTAAGCACCTGAAAATGTTGCATTCTCCAGAGTCTACTCGTACTTCCCTCTTAATTTCTCAATGGCCCCATTTTTTCTCTAATTCTCTCAGTGCTCATTTAGAATCCCACCTAGTGTGCAAAAGAGTGATATGGAGATTCTTTGTGTCCCTTGGTACATACTTCTGAGTGAGAGACTCTATATGTTTGGCTATGCTGTCAGGAATACCTGAGTGAGTAAGAATACCTGCATGAATAATAAGAAGGGACATGGGTCACTGAGAGAGTGCATGCTATGCATATTTAAGGATTTGAATTCATTCTCAGGGACTTGGGGTTAGAAAGGTGTCTCTGGTCGCAGAAAACCGCTGTGAATCTTAATGGATAGCATCATGTTAAGTGAGCTAATGATCTGATGGGTAATGTCTCAGGAGAATCTGGCCCTGATCAGTTCAGTGAGTTATTGCAACTGTTCCCTTGTTATCACCCAACATTTGCCAAGTCATTTGGAACGTGTATGAATCCTTGGTCATGGTTCTTGCTGTTGTTGTTTTTTAAATTCATTGTAATTATTCAGTTTTGGATAGTGTATGCTCAACAATGTGTATGATTCCTCACTTCTTTCTGCACCAATTTTCTAATATACACTTCTGGTCAGAAATTATTCATTGCCATGAAATTCATTAATGTAATGAAGTGAAAGAAATCACATCTTCAGATAATCTAAATCCTCTTTAAATAGTATTACTTTGGGGTAGATATAAACAGTTCATATGCATGGGTGACACTGAGCAAAAAATGAGAATAATGCAGAAAATATCCAAATACCCTGAGAGAAAGCAAAGACAAGAGGATATAATTAAATTGTATTCTTTGCTGACTGAAAATCATCATCTTAGAACTGCAGAGCTGTTTTGGGATGGAATGCCCAAGCTCATGGGTGAAACATCTTGCCAATATTTTGGGTTTCCATGCTCCTTGCCCCCACACCATGAAGTCCGGAGAACTCAAAAAGCTTGCACAATGTTGTAGAATTTTAGTTGGTTCTAGAAAAGGTATTGCCTGCCAGTGGATTTTGGGCTTAATGGTATTTTAGGGAGGCACTCATTAGATGGTAAGTGTATTACTTCATTTCCTTAAGAATAACTGTGCCTAGCCTTGCTCTGTTGGGAGTCATGTAACTCTGCCTTAAAAATTCTCCTTTGCAATAGTGTTTCTATGTTTTGTCACCAATGACAGTTAGCTTTTGGAAAATATAGCCTTTGAAACATCTCAGAGTAGTTTCGAACTTAATGCTTTTTGTGCTTTAACCCTTACCACCATTAATCGGATTTTTTAATTGGATACTAAATTTCAGTTCAGACATGCAGCGGTCTAATCTATCACGCACTATAAATCAGTCAGTTAATTTTCAAGATGTCACAAAGCATTGTGTTATGTAGCTGCTCTAACCAACATAGCTCATGCAGCTTGTTGTCACAGGTAATTGGAGTTAGACATCTAGCAGAAAAAATGGATGTGGTGGAGGCATTGCATTTCCACCCCATTGATCCAGTTTCATGATTGTTTAATTGCTCTTTGAGATAGACCTCTTGGAGTAAGTGCAGAGAACTGTGTTCTGTTGTCATTCCTAGAAAATCTGTGGTTGGGGATCAGATTCCCATATTATTCTGTCCTTCTGTAGTTCATGCCATTAAAAGAACAGCCCATTGGTGGCTAGAATGGAATGATATCTCCCATATTGCCCATCACCCCAAGACAACTGCCTTTTTTCATTTCCGTGAATGTAGATACCGTTAAAAACACATTTCCCCACATTTAACTATGATGGACCATGGCGTTCATAATATGAGCAGCTCATATTGATTCTGATAAAATGGCATGTAAAGTGTTTTTTATCACCCCGTTGCATGCAAATGATTTACGGGCTTTCTTGCATCTTGGTTACAGTAACCTATGCGAAGAATGACAGGAAATGGGGTGAGGAAATAGCCTGAGTAAGCCATCAGAAAACTTCATCTTGTTCCTTTTTATTAGTTAGGAATTTTGTTTGAGTAGTTAAGCTGCATTAATCAACCATTTGTGTGTGCTTTAGTTAAGGAAAATTAGTTGCTTTCAAGCATGCCTCTTTCAATTTAAAGTCTTTTGCCAGAATCCTATTGAGATTCTACTCTGGGGTAAGTGCAGTTGGTTAAACTGAGGTGGCAAATTATAGTTAGTAAATAAGATGCCAGTTGCAGGCCTGGTGATATATCTTGCACATGAGCAGGCATATAACCAGTAGCTTGTTAATTAGCTGCTATTTGCTGTGATAAGTTAATGAACTTTCACTTACTTTAAAGTAAAACCCCTAAAAGTTTTTGGACTGATTTATTCTTGTTTGCTTTGGATATTAATCTCAAGATTTCATGACCTTTACTGCAAAATAATTTTTTAACACGTCTGTTTTCCTGTCTTATATTTGGAGAGTTGGGACAGGGAGAATATTTTCTTAAGATTGTTCTCCACTTTATCTTTGCAGCCTTAATGAAGAAATGGTAATATTACACTGGAGAAAAATCATAACATGACTCAGACTGGCATTCAAATTGCTACCTTAGCCTATTTGTTTTTAAGAGACTTGTTAAGAAGTAGAAACCATCCTTTCCCATAAAACACTTACCGAGGTTAAAGCTGCATTTTCAGCTAGAAAAGTGTAGCTGTATATATCTTTCCCAACAATGCCCTTCTCTTGGGGAGGATGTGCAGGCATAGTTAATCCATTTGGACAATGACATTCCAGCAAGTACCTCTTTCTGTAAGTCATTGTTTGGAAAGAACCAACCTGGAAAGGCAGTTGATGGTGAAAAGACTTAACAGTTTTGCTTCCAGCAAGGAGGGTCAGTGGATTTGTTAAATGGGTTGAATGGGTGGTGGGCATCAGTTGGATGGTATTTCTGACATCATTTGCAACAACTACATGGTTGCCAGGCTTGTTGTTCTACATCATATTGAATTACCAGTATTACTCATTAATTTTTCAGTGTGTCTGCTTTTGGACAACTCTGACATATCTTACCTTGTTTCACACAAGGTAAAAGAACAGAACTGTAAACCAAGCCTGGCTTTGTGATTTCTTTTGCCAATCATTAACCAAGTGACAGTTTTAAAACCTGTATTTTATTTAAACTAGCCAATAGATATCCCTTGGGTACTCTGAGAATATCCAGTTTTGATATATATAAAAGGAACATGGAAGGAGGGAAATATGCTCCATCTACAAACACATACCTCCTGGCCTGAGTTTTAATGGACAG